GAATTTTTTTCTGATTAATCATTTTTGTGGCTTCTCACTAGAGGTGGTGCCAGGCTGGTCAGCTCAGGGATTTTCAGTTCTTTTTTATTGTGCCTCCTGCTTTTGGGGTGTGTGACTGAGAACTGTAGAAGCCCCTGATCTCACTGGTGTGAGCAGGATCTGGATCAGGGCAAAATGCTGCTGTTTGGAATAATTAAAAAGGAAAATTAATTGCATTATCTCCATGGATCTTTCTGGTGAATAAGGAGAGCAAAGCCATGTAATGTCAGTCTGAAGATTTTGATAAATTAGTTGAATTGCTGAGAGAAATAATTCTCCGTGCTACTGCAGTAAAAACTGATTTTTCATTCAAATGTGTAATTTTTAATCAATCCTGGTTTGTAATTTAATTTGAATATTTGTGATTGGTGTGGTTTTCACTGTGAAGGATTTGCATTCCCCCAGAGGACCTGCCAGGTAAATCTCAGAAACTGTTGCCATATCAAGGAATACAAATAGTTCAGTTCTCCTGGCAGTGTATATTTCCAAATCAAAAGTGAGCCTTTGACAGTTAAAATATCTTTGCTCTAAAATTTGAAATATGCAGGTTTACAGCCCAGAATAACAAGTGGAGGTTTAAATCCTGCTATGTAAAATGCCAGGTGGGTGGGGAAGACTTGTCTAAGTTGTGACAATTATTTCATATTTCGAAAGTCTTAAAATAAAACCCAGTGTTCTGTCCATCAGCTCTTAGTTCTGAGCAATTCTCCTGGCTGAGAGCAGCTCTCAGAAATCCCTGCAGCTCCCTGGACATGTCCTGAGGCGATTGATGGATCAGGACCTGCCACAAGAGAAGTTCTGAACTCTGCTGTTTGCTGGAGATTTTGGTGTCTGCAGCAAATGGAGCTTCTGAATCCCTCAGACAGAGGCTTGAAGTTTTTATAGATAATTACTCTTCATTTTTTTTTTCCACGTGTCATCTTAATATTTTGTTGTGGATTTCAAGGATGAGTCATTTCCTTTGAAATTCAGCTGTAATATCTCAGTGTGAAAACGATTCATACATGCTGTAACACTTCATTCTCGGGAGTGAAACAATCTCCTCTTACATTTACAAGGAGGGGTATTATTAGAACATCAAGTTAAACCTTCCTCAGTACACAGAACAAGACAAATAGTCAAAGAAAATAGCTGGGGGTGGCTGGTTGACTTTGGAATAATTCTTTTAAGTCTCAGGGGTGGTTTTTTTCTGTTTTTTGAGTATAATCAAGTGGGTTTTGAGCTGACTGCTTATGGAAAGAGGGCAGGGAACTTCCTGTGTGAGAGAATTGAAAAGAGGGGGGAAAAAAAGAGGAAAAACCCTGTAAGGACACGGATACAAGTGTTCAAAAGGACTCTCAGTGCTTAAAGCTGGAACCTCCAGTCTCAAAGCACAGCTCAGCCCACCTAAGCAGCAGTTGCCTCCACTAGGTGACAGCAACAGTAAATTGTTTTCCTTAACGCATTTAGAAAAGATTTTAATCATTGATTTGTGTCACTGCAGGATCTGTTTTCTGGGAAAGCAACCTGAGGCATTTGAGGAGGTTTGTACTTCCCTGAAAGCTTGGCAGCTCCAAGGTACATGGAAGGGGCAGAGCCCAGAGCATGCAGCTGCTTTGCAAATAACAGCCTTGGGTTGCTGATGAACCAGAAATCCCAGCAAATTTCTGTGGCCAAAACCCACTTTTGGCACAGGCTCAGTTCAGAACCGCAACTCGAGCTGAAAGAGCCAACAGACAAAAAAAACCTGCAAATATTTTCTATAACAAACACCTTAAAGTAAATCAACATAGTGGGTAAATTTGAATAATCACTGGGACTAAATGTGTCTAAAAAATCTATTGTGAAGAATTTTCTTATTCTTGGCACTGTACTAAACCTAGGAATTGTCAGTTACCATCATTAGAGTTTGTTCTAATTAATCACCCATGTCCTAAGGCACATGCTTCTGTCTGGCTGTATTGAATGAAGGACCAGCAGCAGATATTTCACGTTCAGAAACAACATTTATGTGCCATTCTGGCTTTTTCCTTCCTCCTGTTTTTTGAATTTAGCCTCTGAACCATAACGTCCACAGAGAGGCGCCTGCACTGGAGCTGGTTTGCATCCCAGATGCAATGACAGCCAATTACCTGAGCAGGTGAATCAATCCCCAGTGCCAATTAAATTAAAGTTGTGCTTTTGTTGTGTGTTTGAAGCACCGAGCCAGCCTCCAGGAAACGTGGTGTGGAATGTCACCGACTCCAGGGTGCTGCTGAGCTGGGAGGAGGTCAGAGCCATGGACAACGAGTCCCAGGTCACGGGCTACAAGGTCAGTGGGGACAGAGCTGGGGACACAGGGCTGGGGTTTCCTTGTCTGTCTGCATGCTCAGGGCATGCACAATCCCACCCCTAAAACGTTTCACTGGGGTCTCCTTCCTAGGGTTTTTAAATATTTTGAATATGTGTTCCAACAGTGTCTCACCATTAATGTCCCCCAATCCCCTTTTCTCCCCATCCTGGCATTGCTCAGCTCTTGGGATCCCACCACACCTGGATCTGAGAACATTTAAACACTTACCACATCCATAGCTCTTATTTTAAATGTGTAACACTTACCCAAATGGATAAAACTTTGAAAGAAACCACAGACATTTAGCCTGGTGGATCTAGCTTCCATTGCTGGCCAGGTGCATTTATTATATTTATTATATATTATCACATATATTAAACTGATCTTTTTAAACCTTTCTCCTCTTACCTGCTGTGGGCCATGCTCATTTCCCTGACAGAAATTACCCAGTTGCACCTGCTCTAAATCTGATCAGCGCACAAATGTAGAAGTGTTTAAAAATATCATATAAGTGTGTTAAAAACCAGCTGACGACGCTCCTGCTAAGCTCTGTGCAGCTGGATCCCACATGATATAATCCTGAATAAAAGATCTAGGCTGAAGATCTGATGACCCACCGGGTTGTATTGGCAAGAAGTACATGTTTACAGCTTGTTCCAGTGTCCCATTATTTCATATTATTGTAATAAAAAATAATACATAATATGTATTATTTTTATACATATTAGGTACATATACATTTTATATGTGTGACCGTGTTCACAGGGGTCTGAGGATCTGACTCCATGTTTCAGAAGGCTGATTTATTATTTTATGATATATATTACATTAAAACTATACTAAAAGAATAAAAGAAAGGATTTCATCAGAAGGCTGGCTAAGAATAAAAAAAGAAAGAATGAATACAGCTGTGCTGTGATTGGCCATTAATTACAAACAACCCCATGAGACCAATCCCAGATGCACCTGTTGCATTCCACAGCAGCAGATAATCAATGTTTACATTTTGTTCCTGAGGCCTCTCAGCTTCTCAGGAGGAAAAATCCTAAGGAAAGGATTTTTCATAAAACATGTCTGTGACATTATATGTACATATACATTTTATATGTATGTATACATTTTTATGTACATAAACATTTTATAATAATACTGTACAGTTGTATTAGCATCCGTTGTGTGTCGACGGAAGGAGACCAGGACATCCAGTTGATCATCACAGGCCCAATTTTATTGATCAGCACAGCGGGTTAAATACAGTTCGTAATTAACTTCATGCATATTGCAAAAGTTGAGCTCAGGATTGGTTAGTTACATATCAGCAGTTACACCTACTTTTACATTCCTATGGTCCTACTTTTGATACTTTCTACATATTCTTAGGAGATATTCAGGACTAATCTCTACTCCCTTTCTCCATGTTGCAGCAAGGCCACTGATTGCAAGCTGCTGACATCTCCTTTCAGCTTGCTGACTGCTGATTTCTCAGCTTGACCAGTGGCAATATGTCAGCATGGCCTTTCTCAGCTAACCAACTATTAATAAAGCTCTCCACATTAAAGCTCTCCACAGTTGTGCCATTTGAAATTAAATCTTGAGTTAAAGGTGAAGAAAATGTTCAAAAATTAATGAAAAATTCATTCTCTTTTGAATGAAAAACATTCCAAAAAATATTTTTGAACATTTTGAGTCAATGTTCAAAAGAGAGCATTGATTGGTATTCCCTCCTTCCCTTAAGTACAATTCCGCCCTGGAATATTAACCAAAAATCAGCTCTTTTCCTTCATCCCATTGCTGTTAAAAGCTGTGTGTGTGAGGCAGAGGAGGGGCTGAGCCCTGTGCTGTGTTGCAGGTGCTGTGCAGGAGCAGCCAGGGCGGGCTGCAGGAGCTGAGCACGGCGGGCACCACGGCCGAGCTGTGGCTGCAGCTGCAGGACGATTATCTCATCGAGGTCAGGGCCACCACCGAGGGCGGCGACGGCAGCAGCAGCCAGCAGATCCTCATCCCCAGGCTAGCCAGTACGTTCAGCCTCTTCCCTTTGTCCCAGCTTCTCTCTGCTTCCTTTGGTGGTGGGGGAAAAATACTAAAATTAATGTTTAGACGTTGTGCGGTAATATGGTAATAAAAGGAAAGCAATTAAAATCTTCATGCCCTAATGCATGGCAAACTCCATTCTGCTGAACTGGTAAATTCCCATTTAAGTTGCTACTAAAATGTTACCTTTTTTTACTTTTTCTCCTTTTTTTATAAAACACTTGAAAGCAAACTCACAGATTGATTAAAGTTGAAAAAGATCCCCAAGATCGTTGAGTCCAGCCTTTGGCCAAACACCGCCTTGTCAGCTAAACCACAGCACTAAAACCATTCATGATCACAGCATCTCTGTGATTTTTAAATATTTACTTCCTTTTTGTCGATTTTTGTAGATTTTTGTGCTTGTAAGAAAAAATTACAGTAATTTTTGCTTGGCATCTAGGAGGAGTAATAATGTGGCACAGCAGATACTTCTGCTTTCATTTAATCCTGAATTCTTTTTTTCCTTTGTCACAGGTATGGATGCAAGAGGTTCTGGACCATCAGTGTTGAGTATCTTCAGTGTCTCGAGCTTCTTAGCAACAATATTTTCCTTGACCCTTAATTCTGTGTTGTGCTGATATATTTGCATTTGCTGGGGGAAAAAAAAAAATTGGTTACTAAAGTGCATTTTTTAAAAAAAACTGCAGTGGTTAATGCATGTTTTTTCTTCTATCCTGACGTGTTTTTAAATTCTTTATATTTCACTGTAAGTTGAAGTAAAAATTCCATGTAAAGTTTAGCAAATCCTTTAAAAAGGAATCTAAAATGCCTTAATACTTGAACCAAAGGAGTTTACATGTTACATACTTCAGATACAGTGTGAGAGAGGGGTAGGGATGGCACTGTGAGGTCAGGGCAATGAGGGAGCGTGAGAAAAAACATTTTTGCAGCAGCCCTGAATTGTTCTGGGTTTGTTCTGCATTGCTAAAATAACATCTGGCATGGAAAGGATGAAATCAGAGCTGGGGCTGTTATCAGCTGGAGTTGATTATGGCTGCTCCCAAGGCAGTGCCATCACCCTGGAGTTTGGATCATTTCCCTGCTGCCCTTTGTGGGAGCTGCTCTAAATGGAAAGAAATCCCAGAAGAAATCCCACCTGGAGCAGGGCAAAGGCTCCGTGCTGCTCCTGAGAAATGATCTCCCAGCTGTGACCTGGGGATGGTTTTGTGCTGCTTCTCAGTGAATTCTGAAATTCGTGTCCTCACCTCCCCACCTTGCCTTCCCTACCCAGGTTCTGTGTTCACAACCAAGCTCTCCCACCCTGAGGGGGCTGTGCTTGCCCTGCTGCCCCTGTCCAGGGGCTGAGGTGCCCACCTGGCACCCCTGGGGCACCCACCATGGCCTTGGGGACAGGGACACCCATCCCTCCCTCCCTCCCTCCTTCCCTGGTGCTCCCAGCCCTGCAGCCCCAAAGCCTCCTGCTCATTGCACTGCAAACACCCTGAATTCAGACCCACAGCCAGACCTCTCCTTCCTGCTGCTCTTGAACCACTTCTGAGCTGTTCCACCTGCTCTGGCTCTCAGCTGCACCCCACTGCTGTCACATGAGTCTGGGAAGTTCACGGCAATAGTAGGATATTCAAAAATTATACAACAAAATACTTCAGAATTGCTATTGAAGAATAATCTGTGCTTTCTTTCATGGCACTAAATTAAAGATACATTCAGCCTGGTCCATTTGACTTCTAGAGTTGTGGCTTCAGTCAAATCAACCTTTTTAGAGAGGTCACACCATCCCTGTTCAGATAACATAAAGCATCATCTCCTCTTAAACACTGGGGTTTTTAAATTTCACAATATTATTACAACACACAGAACTACAAAGGGGGAACCAGGATTAATAACATTATGGTAGCACTTTGGAAAAAATACCTTGATGTGCATTGAGCTGGCAGATGAGCTCCAGATGAGACCAAGTGCTGCTGAGGAAAGCAGGAGCTGTAAATACTGTACATAGAGAGCTATAAATGAGTTTAAAATTAGTTGCTTTTCAGTGTTGTTTTCAGACACTTGCAAACAGGGGGGTGGGTGGGACATGGAAATCCAGGTGTTCCTAGTGAGTAAATAGTTCTATTTCATGCAACAAAGGGTGACTCTTTCTCTTGTTTCACAAAATTCTAGTCCAGGTTCCTGTACTGCCCATTTTTCATGCACTTACATTGTATTATTACTTGATTTCTAGTTCTATATCTCCATGAGATACGTACCCAGTACCTTGTTTCATATTGAAAAGGTTGAAATTTATCCTTGAACTTCCAGTTGTGTGTGTATCCTATGGTTATCTGTATGCATTCTTTTCTATGGCTCTAATAAAATATTTATTACATTGAGGGATAATAGACTATCTCAATGTGTTATTGCTTGTTCCTGTTACACATTTGCACACATTGGGAGTTTAACACATCTAAAAATGGTTGTGCTCAAGCTGCTGAGTTCCTCCTCTGCTTGGCTTTGCATCAGGATGGGCAGAAATCCACCTCCATTTCCCTGGCTTCATTTGCCATCTATCCAATCAGGCTGTTTCCTCTTCCCTAAAGTGGAAAAAAACCCACTGTAATTACACTGAAGAAGAGTTAGTTTTTTATAATAATTTATTCAGTGTATCACTATTTAGCATTAAATTGCAGGTCCTGTTTGCTGCTGCAGTTGCCTGTTCCTTACACACTGCAGCTTCCCACAAAACCTGAGATTTTCCAGCACTGAAACCTTTTCCTTGGGAACACAGGCACAGCACAAGTATGTATTTTAAGCTGTTAAAGTGTGGGTTCTACCTGCATAACTGGGAGCTGACCCAGAGGCTGCAATAAGGGTTAATAATGGTCCCAACAAATCCTAAATGTGTACACAAGACTGGAGGGATTTTTCTGGTGTAAATCAGGTTTAAATCAGGTTTTCCTGTCAGATGGTTGTAGGTGGACACTCCTGCCTTGCTCTGCCTCCCTCAGTGTCCAGATTAATCTTCCTTTAAACTGATCTCTCTTTATTCCTCCTATCATGGTAATGCAGCTCAGGGTTATTTGCATTAATAGAAGTGTCTGGTTCTCCAGTGGGTTGATAAAAAACAAGCTGGCATTGGGAAGGTGCAGGAGGAGAAGAGGCAATAAGGGATAATGGGATAATCCTACCTCTTGCAGGCATTTCCAGAGCAGCTCCTGTGACCATCCCAAATTAGCAACTCAGTCCTGGGATGAAAAAAAAATTAAAAGGAAGAAAAATAATACTGAAAAATGTGACTAGAATTACTTGTACAACAAGGACTGCAAGCGGTGGGGAAGGTGGTTCTGCCATTCCATTGGACTTGGGCTTCCCCAGATAACCAGCACTTTGTCACATGTAATATTTGAAATCTCATAAGGAACAATGGTAGGCTTCAGTCATAGTTTTCAAAATTGCATTCCTTTCAATTCCCCATCCAACATCAGAGCTGTGTTCTAAAGCCTGGATTTCTCAGGGGTGCTTGGAGTAAGAATTTCTTTAAAACCCAACTTTTCCTTTGAACAGTTTACTGTGGGATATGTTGCAAACATGCAGGATCCTCTATGAATACAAAATGAGTTAAAACCTAATATCACTTCAGGCCAAAGAAATATTGGAGATCTCTATTTTCTACTTAATTTGCCTTTCAGTGGTGGCAGGCAGATGTGGGCAGTGCCTGTCAGGTTATATCTGTTATGTCTTAATAAAAGGCAATAAAGCAAGCTGTCCAGCATGAGGGAGTGCATTCATCTGACAGCTCTGTCTGAAATAAATAACAATGGAATATTGTGAAAATAAAATGAGTTTGTAAACAGGCCCTGGCTCTCTTAGGGGAAACAACCGCCTGGATTGTTTTATGCTAATGCTGTGAACTCCTGCAAATCAATAAAAGGGGATGTGTTCAGCACAGACAGACCTGAGTGCACCTTCTGCTGCTTTATCAGGGCTGATGGATGGATGGATGGAGAGAGGCACTTGGAACCTGGGAGCTGCAGGGATGGATGGGGAGCTCCTGCAGCAGCTCTGGGAAAAGGGATTTCCTGACAGGCTCACAGAGCCTGGGGCTCTGGGGAGGAGGGAGCAGCCCAGGAAAGGGCACAGAGTGTCTCATTTTCCAGGCTGAGCTCACAGAATTCACAGAATTACAGGGTTGGAAGAGACCTTCAAGATCATCGAGTCCAACCCAGCCCCAACATCCCAACTCAACCCTGGCACCCAGTGCCACATCCAGGCTTTGCTAAACACACCCAGGGATGGGGACTGCACCACCTCCCTGGGCAGAACATTCCAGAACTTTATCACCCTTCCGGAAAAAACCTTTTCCCTGCTATCCAACCTGTATTTCCCTTGGTGCAGCTCGAGGCTGTGTGCTCTGGCTGTGTCAGTGCTGCTGGAGAAAGAGCCCAGCCCAGCTGAGCACAGGCACCTTTCAGCTGAGCTGTTGGGGCTGGACTCCGTGATCTTGAAGATCTCTTCCAGCCTGATCATTCTGTGAACTCCTCCTCAGCAGCCTCAGCAAGCTCTGCTGCAGTTATTGAAGTCTCACCTTTGGCTTGGAAGGGTTCCCTGAGGTGGCTGAGGGTTGGACACCCCATTGCCACCCTGGGCATCCCCTCCAGGACAGTGCTGTGCCAGCTGTGCCACTTCCCCTGCTGCCAGGTGGGGCCAGAGAGGGGACTGTCCCTGGAGATGCCCTCAGAGGGCACCAGTGTGTCTGTGCTCGAGTATTCGCCACAAACACAGCCCACTGTGCCTCTCAAATAACCCTGCACCAATCTGGGATCCATTTCCCTGTTTTCCTCTTCATGCCAGTGGCTGTGGGTGCCAGTCCTCTGTCCTGGCTTTGAGCTGCACCACAGAGCTGCCCCCAGGAGTTTGGTGTTTCAATAAAGAGAATCTCACCTTTCCTCTTGCTTGGTGTTTCAATAAAGAAACCTCTCTCAGCTTTCCTTTGGCTGCTCTTGCAGAGCCTGAGCTGCAGTGTCTGCAGTGCCCTCGTTGGAATTCATTCCCTGCTCTGGGTCTGAACTCTGTTTTCAGACTTCACACTTTGTGCATGAGAGTGTTTTAGTATTAGAATTTCACAGGACCTTCATGTGCATCCTTCCTTTGCTTTTTCCATCCTTAAGGGTCAAGAAAACGTGATAAACTCAACTTGGAATTAAATTTCTTTTCTTGAACTCCTCACTGATCTTTTTGAGGTCAGGAAGTGTCTTTGAGGCTCTTTTATTTTTTTTTCCAAATGCACAAATGTAGGAGACAAGCCTGTAACCCCATGCAGCATCACTGAGACACTTTCTTCCCAATGCACCCAAGATTATTTTCTTACCCTTTAAGAGCATAATTAGTCCTGTGAGGCCTGGACCATGCCTGCTCTTCGTGCTGTGCTCTCCATTCCTTCCCAGCCATTAATTCCCTCGTGGGGGGAGAACATCAAGGCACTGGCACAGGCTGGAAAAGGAACAATCAAAAGCCTCACACGGGAGCCTGTGAAAGGATGCAACTTCAGGATGTTCACTCACTCAGCTTGTGACAATTTAAACTCAAAACAGCTCCTGGGATAGTTGGGACAGCCAGAAATGACCATCAGGGAAGAGAAAGTTTTGAGGAGTCCAGCTCCTTGCTGCCTGATCCTCCCAAATCCTGCACTCCTTGGGATGCTGAACTGCAGGAGGTGTGGCATTATCTGGAAGAGAAAATGAATGAATCTGATTCCATGTTCTCAGAAGGCTAATTTATTTTTTTTATCTATATTTTATTAAAGAATACTAAACTAAAACTTATATTAAAGAATACTAAACTAAAACTATACTAAAGAATAGAGAAAGGGTACAGACAGAAGGCTAGAAGATAATAATGGAAAACTCGTGACTCTCTTCAGAGCCTCAACACATCTTGGGCGTCATTGACCAACGAGTAAAACCAATTCACCTGTTGTATAAACAATCTCCAAACACATTCCAAAGCAGCAAAACACAGGAGAAGCAAATGAGATAATATTGTTTTCATTTTCTCTGAGGCTTCTCAGTTTCCCAGGAGAGAAATCCTGGGCAAAGGGGATTTTCCAGAAAATGTGATGGTGACAGAGGAGAGAGCTGCAGGCGAGTTTTGTTTTCTGTGACTGTTCCCCTCAGACTGGAGCACCCAAAGGCTCTCCCTGAGCCAATTCCTTCTCAAGATGGGGTCTGGATGGGCAGGAAAGCTGTCCCTTGGGATTGCTGTCCCTGGGGGATCTCTCTTTTGTGCTGGAACACAAGCAGTGATCTCTTACATCAGGTAAAAGCACAAAAAAGAGTCAGAGAAAACAGGGGAAAGCCCTGTGTTTCCTGCCCCTGATGATGAAAAGAATAAATCATTTTCCCAGCACCTCTGAAGGAATCTGAACAGGACATGTGTTCAACAAGAATTCCCCTCATCAGCAATCCAAGGAGGGCCATGCTTAAGGCAGACAAATAATTTAATTTTTGTCACACTTCCTAACATTGCCACCAAACTGAGGCATTTACAGTCACCCTTGTCACAACACTAATTATCTATTTGAATAGCAGAGCTCTCTGCTGATTGAATGAGTTCTGCAGTGAGAGCAGATCATTTCAGCAGCACCATCTGATCATCATTACTTTCTGGATATAGGATGTAAATAGACTATCATGACAAAAAATATGGCTCTGGTACCTTTTCAGCAGCTTCAGACGAGATGGGGGAGCTTCTGCAGCAGCCAAAAGCATCAGTTCTTGGTCTGGAAAACAATGTCCTGGGGCTTTGTGTTGCCTTGGAAACGTGAAAAATAAAGCACCATTAATTACCAATTTTCAAGCAAGCAATGCTGAGGGCCTGATCCCAGGCTAATGAATCCCTCACCCCAATTTCTGCAGCCTCGGGCTGATCAATCAGCCCTGCTGAACCAGGGCAGGGCTGAGGCACAACAAAACTCTGCCAAGATTTCCTGCTGGCTCTGATTCCACCGTGGCACCAGGAGGCTCCAGGCAGCTCCCAGGGCTGTGCTTCCTCTTGCCTTCACATCCATGACCTCAATAACAACTTCAGCTGCTTGGTTTTTACAATAAATGCAGGTTTTTTTCAAGGAGGTACTAGCAGCAAGCCTGACAAACATCCAGGAAAACACATATGCAAGTCCTATATAAATCCCATATATATATATTAAAAAAAATATATATATATCTATCATAGATATATATTTTATATATATATATATCCTATACATATCATATATATGTCCCATATATATAAATAAAATTATATTTTATTGTGTATATATATATTTTCCAAATAAAATTATATTTTATTGTGTATATATATTTTATAAATAAAATTATATTTT